ACCCTTCTTGTTACTCTTAACATCTCTTGCTAACTGCAACTCCAAGTGTGATTTGGCCTTCCTGATTTCACAATACAAGAACTAGGGGTCACCAAATGAAATTAATAGGCAGCAGATTTAAAACAAATAAAAGGAAGAAGTTCTTCACACAGCGCACAGTCAACTTGTGGAACTCCTTACTTGAGGAGGTTGTGAAGGTTAGGACTACAACAGCATCTAAAAGAGAACTGGATAAATTCATGGAGGTTAAGTCCATTAATGGCTATTAGCCACGATGGGTAAGGAATGGTGTCCCTAGACTCTGTTTGTCAGAGGGTGGAGATGGATGTCAGGAGAGAGATCACTTGATCATTACCTGTTAGGTTCACTCCCTCTGGGGCACCTGGCACTGGCCTCTGTCGGTAGACAGGATACTGGGCTAGATGGACCTTTGGTCTGACCCAGTACGGCCGTTCTTATGTTCTTATGTAAATGCAGGAGCTACTCTTCATTCCCAGCTGCTAGTGTCGGTTGGACATCATTTGGAGAGCGGGGCAATAAGGCAAATTCTCTTAGACAAATCAAAGGAAGCTGAATGTAGCTTCCTCTCAGTCCCACCTGCCGTTTGCAGCTGCTCATCTAACAGCACAGTGTTTTCATCTGCCTTCCCCATGGAGGATCCGTGTGCTTCTGTGTCCCAAACTATGTAGAGCACTTTCCAGGAAGAGGCTGCAAGGAAACAGCAGCTCTTCAGGACATCGGTTCGGGAAGCAGCCTTCAGTCCTCTGCTGATGTGCAGAGTACCTTTCGTTAATGAGGCTGTGTGGTTTGTCAGGGGTGGGTGGGTTACAATGCCAGATCTAAATCTTTGATTCAGACCTGCCCCCTCAACCTGAATGGGCTGTCTAGGTCTGCCTAGTTTGCTTCGGTCATATTTATCTGGCCCTCATTACTGTAGCATCTGAGTTACTCCCAATATTTAATGTATTTAAGCTCCCAACACCCTTGTGTGGCAGGACAGTGCTGCTATCCCCGTATGACTGAGGATAAACTGTCTCTGTGCCTCATTGACTTTCCTGAGATCACACAGGAGGTCTGTGGCAGCTCAGTGACCTCAGCCAAACATTTAGAAAAATACAATCCCATGTAAATCGTGTTCAGCAAAACGAGAATCTGAGAGCCAGCTACAGCAGCTGCTGAGATCTGGATATTGCAGCTTATAACCATGTGTCAGATTCCAGATATAAATCCTCCCAATAGAGAATTTCAGTAGTAAATGTAGCGCAGATTTTGATGTAACTTTCAAAGGAAGACTCAAGTTTTAGCCAGGAAGCTGATGTAGGTGAGAAACCAGATGATTAGCATTTGCTGACTCTACATTGCATCCAGCAACTGGAATTCAAGCAGTAAGAGCCAAATTCTGATGCAGTTGAAATACGTGGCAAAAACTTGCATGGATTATAGTGGAATTGAGATTTAGCCAGGGTATGTGATTAGGCAGGGCATTTCCTCCTGTTATTTCTAAAGGAAACATACACAGTGCTAACGGATATCCTTAGCTGGGTTTTCATGTTCTCTGGTAAAAACAAGACTGGTGGAGAGGCACATAGCTGAGAAAAGAGAGAGCGACGACCCACTTATCTGTTGATATGCTCTCTCGCTCTCTCTCTTTAAGCATTAGGTAATGATGGCTCTTTTCCATGCAGCAGGCCAAATGCTTATGTCCTGGGGAATTGTTCCACTACTCAGAGTAAAGTACCCTTCACCTCTTACATGCCCAGTGCTCTAATAGGAGGGTTTCCGGGAAGTTTGTGGCTTTGTTGTGCATTTGTAACCCAGAACAGTACAGCTTTATTATGGATGGCCTCTTTCATGCAGATTTTATCTCAAAACACACAAGGAAATCCTCTCACTCGGCTTGCTAAGGACAGTACCTTAGGAAGCTGTGATGTGTTGCTACAGATGGAGTAACCTCCGCTTGTAGTGAACCTGGGGGGATCTCTCTCTCCTTGGGATGGTTATGTAAGCTGCGTGCACACCCCCCACGTTGATGTAAGGAGGTGGTTTTAGTAGAATAATGAGAGAGTTGTTCATAGCTAGATGTTAAGATAATACCACTCTTGCCTTTTTAACTTAATCAACCAGACAAACTAATCTGTTCCTGGGATCGAAGTGTTTGGACAAAACAGCCCCATGGGTTAATTGATTTCTTTGTTTTATTGTTGCCTGTTGGGGTTGTAGCTGTCTGTGAAAGTTACTGCTTGGTAATATTAACATGTAATCCAATTGGATTAGATTTTTTTCCCCTTGGAATGGATCAGTGGCTTAGAATGTACCTAAGGGCAGGTTGCTGGTTTACTGCTATTCTGCTGAGATGTATGGGGGAGGGGAAGGCTTGGGGAAAAAACATTTTTGCTTCTCACCAACACTGAGCTGGAGTAAGGTGAGCTTTTTTAAGAGGCTTCTGTTTCCCTTGATCAGAAATGATTTAGAAGTGGATGACATGTTTTGAAACCCCATTAATGTGTGGCTGGCGTTCCCATTAAAAGAGAGTTCTCGGCACCAGCCAGAGTTATGAAAACATGGACTCAAAACCGGATCGCAATGCATTGGCAAAAGACAAGGGGAAGAAAACATAAGGAGCTGATGTGACGGCTCCAGTGTCCAGCCTGACTTTATCTCTGACTTCCTGTCCAGGGACTCTGAAGGCATTTTCTTTTGCAGATGAACAATGCTAAATGCTGTAGGCTGAGCTCTTGTCCTGGCTTTATCCTTGCCTCCACTTTTGCACTCATAATTCTTTGGGTGCGATTTCCAGCGCCTGGACACTTAAGTACCTCATTTGTGGATGCAGTTGAGTATTTCAACATCTAAATCCTATAAGTGGCATCTGCAGTTTTGTGGGTGCAAAGATGTGACCATTGTTTGAGTATTAGGGCTGCCCCCCAAGAGAATAGTTCTGTACCTGAAAACCTTTTAAATTGAAAAGGGGCTGTGGAGCACATTAACAGCTCCTTGCCGGTACAGAGCACCTGCCTGCAAATAAAGGGATTTTTTTTTTTTTTTTTTGGTTGGGAACTCAGATTCCAGGTGGTTGGGATCCCAAGCATAATAGAATGTTTGTGTGTGCTTGTGTGGGGTGTGAGTTCCATCCCAAGCCTGCAAATAATATAATGCTCTCCAGAACGAAGGCTGCACAAGGGACCTACTGTCAACCAATTGAGGATTTTAGGTGGTTGGCTGTAGCATGCCCATTGTGCTGTCTCTGCTCTGCCTGCCTGCCTGTGCGACTTCTTCAGTGGGGAAGAAGTGAGGGGGGGACCTTCACTGTTGGGTGCCCCGAGATGTTGCTGCTTTTGCCAGTCACCACATGAGGGAAGGAACCTCTGTCCATAGATGCTCCTAAAACTTTAGCACCTCTTGTGCCGCCCCCCCCCCCCTCAAGAACCCCAAGAAACCTGTCCTTGTTTTGAAGGGTAGTAATAATTGGTGAGTTTATGCCAGGAATCAAACTGGTGCCTCTGGTGCTAACTCTGGTTTCTCTCTCTCCTCCCTCTCCCCCTTCCTCCCCGCTCTCAGGTTTTGTTGCCAGCTGCCAGCTTATTGCAATTAATGGATGTTAGACAAAACTGCTGTGATTTTCTCCAGTCCCAGCTGCACCCCACAAATTGCCTTGGAATTCGAGCCTTTGCAGATGTGCACACCTGCACTGAACTTCTGCAGCAGGCAAATGCCTATGCAGGTGAGCAAAACATCCTGGCTTATCCCAGCCACTTAGAGTTTGGTCCCAAGTATAAAGGATACTTGGGGCTGGAGCCATTACCAACTCGTACTTTTAATGTTTCCAAAGAACATGCAGTGGGCTTCTCTATTGGCCTTTGCAGGGCTCTGACATGTGACGGTCCTGCAAAAGACGGAGGCCCTTCAGAATAATGGAAGCTTTGGAGGTGAAATGAAGGACTTTAGTTTAATTTGTTATGGAAAATGCAGGCAGGTGTCAGGTGAATTATGTCCTTTGTGTTCCTAAATCAGTAATAGAAATACAGCTGCTTCTTCTGGAAAAAAACACTGTATAGAACAGAGGCTGAATATCTTATCTATTTGTCTTATCAAGTTTCTTTCTCCCCTGCTCCTCTTCTGTGAGCTCAGCCTTTCAAAGCGCCTTGTAGTGGGCTCCTCTGACTGATCCTTTGAGGATTTACGTTACTATGACGGACGAGGGAGAAGTTGCTCTCACAGTTTTCTCAAATATTTATCCATAAGCTAACTGAAAAGCATGTCTATTCATCTTAGATGTGCCCTTGGTGGGGAGGGATAGCTCAGTGGTTTGAGCATTGGCCTGCTAAACCCAGGGTTGTGAGTTCAATCCTTGAGGGGGCCACTTGAAGATCTGGGGCAAAATCAGTACTTCGTCCTGCTAGTGAAGGCAGGGGGCTGGACTCGATGACCTTTCAAGGTCCCTTCCAGTTCTAGGTGATGGGATATCTCCATTAATTTATTTAATTTAATTTAAATTTATTTAATTTAAGTATCTTGCCTTTCTGTCTCTCTGTACCGGACCTCATACACTGCAGTCTGTGTAATAGAGAACACAATCCTTAGTTCAGTCTCTTAATACATTTGATCTATATTCTATAGATACATTTTACACTTAAGATGAGAATTTGGGGGGAAGGGGTGCAGGGAGAGGTTGTTTTTGTTTTATACTCGGAAGCAACCTTAGGCAGCAACCGTTCATTGATCCCAATGGGCAACTGTGAATTTACTTTATTTCTTGATATTACTTGCAACAGTTCTCTTACAGATCGCATGAGCCCAAATCTGTCTAGTTGTATTGGGCATTATGTTATCTACCAAGAACTTTTCTTTTTTTTTTTTTAATTCTAAATGAGCCAAGAGAAGGCTGAGTATCTGGACAGCTAAAAGCCAAACCCTAATGCAAGGTGCTCAATCACTGAGAACATTTTCTACTTAAATGGGAGTCAGTCCAGTTACAAAGCTGCTGTTATAGTTTGCAGCCGCACCATAGGGCACCAATCCCGCTCAAAGCCTCCCTGACTTTGGCGAGTTCCGATATACCAAGTCGTATCAGAAGTTAACGTCCATGCTCTGGGTAACACCTAATGACTACAAGTCTTGGAGATTAATGCCAAGCTTGGATAGAATGGTTGCCACTATTAGCAGCCATGCCAACTGCTACAGACGTATCGTTCAAAGTGTGTCAGGTTCTGTGTGTCCCAAGCACACTGTCATTCTGCTCCACCTCAGCTAAATTCAACTTAAATGGTCCCAGTACACACCAAATGCTCTTTTGATGGCCTTTGGATGAGGAATGCTAGCTGCCTTGCGCTGTCAAGGCCCTTTGGCTAGTTACTGAGCAGTGTCAGCCATGTTGATGGAGCAGTCTGTATTCCTCTTGTTTGGCAGCTGGTAGCCAATAACAAACCTGCACTGGTTTGATGTGCATTCTGGGAGCAGTTGTCTAGGCAAACAGGCTTAAGGACAAATCCTGAGCTGGTGTACATTGTCATCGTTCCATTGACTTGGAAGGAAGTATGACAACTGACACCCGTGGAGGAAATGCCTCTTCAGTTTAATGGCTGACTTAATTGGATACTATCCTATCGCATAACACCGATTTCTCGATGACGTGGGTTTAGACTCGCTGCTTGCTTTTCTGCCTGCGTCGTCCAGGAGATTTGTTCCTGTATCTGTTAGCTGGTGCCCAAGGCAGAAACCCAAGTGGACCTGAGTGAGAATTCCCCGTGCTCTTAACTCCCCCGTGCCCTCCGTTTTCTAGCAGATTTGCCTTTGAGCGTTTGCCTGTTGTGCTGTGCTTTGTGTAGGCACAGCAGTGCTATTCTCCAAGTCCTTCCCCAATCAGGCTCCGCTCTCACGCTTCCTCTCCTCTGCGACATTTTGCCTGGCATTTATGGGTTTTAATCATATGGTGAGTAGGCTCTTCCATAACAAACAAACAAAAAAAAATAGGGTGGCCACCAAATTCTCCTGCGTTCTCCCTCAAATCCAGACACAACCTTTCAGCCGCTCTTGTTCCATTATCCCCTGAAGAAAAACGTACTCTGAAAGGAATGGTTCATTGTGTAAGGGTTTGCTTGTAATACCTCATTATCCTTGCTTCCAGGACCCTGTTTAATCTTTAACCGAACAAGCAGTGCATTCTGTATATATTTATTTGGTTGTTTGGCAATTAGAAGGCCTGCTTTTGTTGCTTTATTGGCCTTCACGAGTCCCTGTTAATACAATAGCCTATATAATGTTAATGAAACTCCATTAATAAAAATGCCATTAAAATTCTTTGTTGTTTATGTAACAGCATTAAGCCGAGCCAGAAATCAGAGAGACCCCAAGGATTTTGTGAGCTCAGTTACTCGAGTACTCGAAAATGCCTAGTTTAAAAGCTTAATTTTAAACGATGGATAACTTAGGCAGGTGAAGTTGTCTTCTTTATATGAGAGGGCAGACGCTGTTAAATGTTTAAAATCAGAACATATTTTACATGCTTGTAACAAATAGCAAGGAATGAAATTGTTAGCTGCCCAATCCCTATTCTGTCTTGGCTGAAATGTAGATTGCATTATCCACAGCACGTGCATTGTGCTGCATGGAGTCTTGTACTGTCCATTGGCATAGGCACAACACGTCAGGGCCTGATTCTCATTCACACCAAAGCCATTCGTGTGAAGGTGCCCTAAAGCAGGTGCCGATTGTAATGTACACCCACCCTTAGGCAGTCAGTGTTCTATAAAGTGTCAGTGAGAATCAGGCCTGTTAATGTCTGAGTTCAGCCAGAGAGTTTGCCCCGTTAGCTGGAGCAATAGTCTTTTGTGATGACCATTTCCTAGAGGACAGCAAGAGCAGAGCGAGCGGAAAGGGAGGAACGTAAGGGAAGGCATTGCCACCTGTTTGCTGCTGTTTAACCCACGTGGCACCACGAGTGCAGTACAGAACAGAACACGAGCTGCGGCCCTCATGTCGGTGCTCATGGCTGGATTTCTCAGTGCTTGAAAGTCGCTGCTCTAAAGAGAATCCCCAGCAGTAAAGATTCATGTTGCCATATTTCAGCTAAAAGATAAATGGGGGCTGTACAAGCGATGGGTGAGACTGTAAGCGCCTCGGGGCAGGGGCTGCCTGTTCTCGCCTTTAGAGTACCACATGCATGATGCGAGATAGATAGGATTTGTGTATGTATCTATCGATTTACATAATAACATAAAGCACCAACTCTCCTGCGAAACATTATAATGGATTGGGCTGTATAAAAGAGAGCCAGCTTGCAGTAGTATGGATATTTGTCCAGCAATAAAATTGTCTGCAAACAGATCTCAGCCTTTTTAAACAGATGTCCAATTCTTTAATTATATGGACCTGTGCCCTTCGTTAAGCTTTAATATGTAACGGAAAGCATGGTCGGACCTGAAGAGCTCTTTCAGAACTGTGTAGCAGCCGGGGAGATTGCTCCCTGTCTGATTATTTGTGACACACAAATATTGTAGGTTTTTTATACAGTGCCTCTCAGTCAGAATGGAGGGGGCTGGGATGGTGGAAAGGGACTCAGGCCAGGGTGGATCCTATGAGTTTAGCGGAAAGGGTGGGGTAGGTAGATGGATAGGTAGTTGGTGGGGTCTGTAGTCTGAATTATGAGGATGGGGGAGACTAGGTTTGTACATAGTGGTGATGGAGCCTGAGGACAGTAAAAGGTTGAGTAGGTGGAAGAGAGTGATGAGGGTGTGAGCAGGGGCAGGGGAGGTGAGTGGTCAGGAAAGGTAGTGGAGGTAGAGACCAGCCTACAGACTGGAGTTACTGTTAATAGTGATTTTGACCCTGGGCATTTGGCTTATTGGAGCAGGAGAGGAAGATGTAAGTATTGGGTGTCAGCCAGGATGGAGGAGGAGTGAGAGGTTAGTGGAACAGGTAGGGTGGCACAAGAGAGGGGTCAGGGTCGAGTGTGGCTGACAGCTGTTGAGATGCCTGGGTTGTTGATGGGTTGGAGGTTATGGAAGGCCTAGGAGTGGAGACGGGAGGCTGATGATTTTCCATGCTCTATTTAATCGCCCCAAGCTGCCTGAAATTTCAGCAGGATACTGTGTAATTCTTCACTTCCTGTGTGGCTGTCAGACAGCCGCTGGGTTACACACAGTGCCAGTCTTGTTGAAATGATTCAAGTCCGTGTTAGTTTTTTTGTTTAATAACTGGCAATGTTCAGAGCCTCCGTTCTACATCACAGCATTCTTTAGACCAGTGCTGCCTACTGACTCGCCAACACCACTTCCTGCCTCACCGTGTGGTTTTCTTTTTGGGGGGTCTCTCATCCAAGTACAGAACAAATCTAATGCTGCTTAGCTTGTGAGAGCAGACCAGGATCACATCCAGAGGTGGCATGATTGCAGGTTATCTATTGGTCTAGAAAGGAGCTCTTCTTTCTGAATTGCCGTTAGTAATTATACCTGTTGGAGGAAAAATAGGTAGCAACACTACAGAGTTTTATTTGTGCCATTTTATGATTTATTGCAATTAGTGAATGAGTCTCTGGGGCGGCATAAATAGTATTTCAAATAACATCAGGTTGCTTTAACCTGCACTAAGAATATTTTTTTAGTCTATTCAGCATTTTGATTCCAGTGTAATCATATTTGTCTTGGGGGGGCCGTTGCTGTAAGAATAACAATTCTCTGAACACTGTAGTCCTTCTGTTGACTGAAAGCATGGATTTCATTATAATTTTCCTTTCCAACCTTTGATTTTTTTGAACAGAGCAGCACTTTCCCGAGGTGATGCTAGGGGAAGAATTCCTTAGCCTTAGTCTGGACCAGGTTTGCAGTTTAATATCAAGTGACAAGCTCACTGTGTCTTCAGAAGAAAAGGTACAGTAAGTTATGTAGTAATAGAGAATCTGTTCAGGCATGTTTTGAGTTTAGTAATTTTATTGGCAACTGGTTATGCTCTCTTAGAGTCCTTTTTCCAGCCGTGCACCACATCTCAAAAGGAGAGGAAATTTATAACCAATAAGAATTCTAGAACTCCATCAACATGTTTTACCACAATTTTCTCTACATAAAGTCTTGACTGTAAAATCCAGTGTTTTGTCCGGCTCCTCCCAGGGTAAGAAGGAAATTCTGTTTCTCTTTGGAAAACAGGAATCTCTCTTCCACAGGTATAAAGCTCCTCTTCTAGACCCAAAGCATCATGGGAGAGCCAACCTTAGGCCTTTCACTGGTCCAGGATGTTCTGCAATTCAGAACTGGGTAATTCGGGGGGGAGGAGAGGTCCACGATTAGGAGGAAATAAGGAAACACTTTTCTCTGGCAGCGTGTAACTTTTTTTTTTTTAAGAAAAAATAGTGGTGGCTGGTGCCGTTTGGAATGTCAGGCACCATACCCTGTTGGTAAGGCCCTACCAAATTCATTGTCCATTTTGGTCAATTTCACAGTTAGGATTTTAAAAATTTCATGATTTCAGCTATTTCAATCTGAAATTTCACAGTGCTGTAATTGTAGGGGCCTGACCCAAACAGAAGTTGTGGGGGGAGGGGTTGCAAAGTAATTGTAGCGGGGGTTGCTGTACTGCTCCTTCAGAGCTGGGGGGCAGCAGCAGCAGCGCAGAAGTAAGGCTGGCTTGGTATGGTATTGCCACCCTTACTTCTGCACTGCTGCTGGTGGGGCCCTGCCTTTGGAGCTGGGTGCCTGGCCACCGCTCTCCGGCCTCCCAGCTCTGAAGGCAGCGCAGTAGTAAGGGCGGCAGTACTGCAAACCCCTAAAATAACCTTGTGAGCCCCCCCTCCCCCGCAACTCCCTTTTGGGTCAGGACCCCCAATTTGAGAAACGCTGATCTTCCCTGTGAAATCTGTATAGTATGGGGTAAAAGCACACAAAAGACCAAACTTCACAGGGGGAGACCAGATTTCACAGTCCGGGATGCATTTTTCATGGCTGTGAATTTGGTAGGGCCCTACCTGTTGGTCAAGTGCAGATGAAATAGCTGGAGGGAAGGATGGCCAAGTAGTTAGCCTGGGATTTAGGAGAAGTGGATTCAATTACACCCTCCCCTGCAAGCTTTCCTGTCTCACTTTGAGCAAGTCTCGTAGCCTGTGTGCCTCCGTTCCACATGTGTACTATGAGGAGAATAGCACTGCCCTGCCTCACAGGGGTGTTGTGGGGATGAATATATCCGATTGTGAGGTGCTCAGATTTTATGGAAATGGAGGTCAGTTAAGCACTGAAAATGATAAACTACAATCACGTTCCGGTGACGATTGATCCATCACACTGACATGACCAGCTCACTCCAGGGTTTCCAACTTTCTAATGGCACAAAATGGAACACCCTAGCCCCGCCCCTTCCCTGAGGCCCCGCCCCCACTCACTACATTCTCCCTCCCTCGGTGACTTGCTTTCCCCCACCCTCACTGACTTTCACTGGGCTGGGGCTTGGGGTGCGGGATGGGGTGAGGGCTGCAGCTGGGGGTGCAGGCTCAGGGGTGGGGTTGGGGATGAGTGGTTTGGAGTGCAGTAGGGGGCTCCAGGCTGTGGGGTGAGGCCAAGGGATTCGGAGTGTGGGAGAGGGCTGCCGGTTGAGGTAGGGGGTGAGGATTCTGGGGTGGGATCGGGGATGAGGGGTTCAGGATGTGGGAGGGGGCTCAGGTCTGGGGATGAGGGCTTTGGGGTGCACAATGAGGCTCCAGGTTTGGGGGGGGTGCTCAGGCTTGAGGCAGGGGGTTAGGGTGCAGGAGGGGGTCAGGGCTGGGGGTGTGGGTTCTGGGGTGGGGTCAGGGATGAGGGCTTTGGGAGGGCGAATGGGAGAGAGGGATGCAAAGACACAAGAGCAGCCACCTTTTCTGATCATTCGTTTGCAGGAGGGCGCTCTGGGTTTGGGGGTGTCTCAGGGCTAGCGCAGGGGGTTGGGGCACAGGCTTACCTCGAGTGGTTCCCGGTCAGCAGCACAGCGGGGCTAAGGCAGGCTGCCTGCCTGTCCTGACACCGAGTTGCGCGCACCCCAGAAGTGGCCAGCAGATCCGACACTATTAGGGAGTGGGGGCAGGAGGTTCCCGGCCAATGGGAGTGCGGAGCTGGTGCTCGGGGCGGGGGCAGCGCGCAGAGCCCTGTGGCTCCCCCCGCCTAGGAGCTGGACCTGCTGGCTGCTTCTGGGGCGCAGCACGATGCCAGGACACGTAGGGACACTGCCAACCGGACCTTTAATGGCCCGGTCGGCGGTGCTGATCGGAGCTGCCAGAGTCCCTCTTTTACCGGGTGTTCCGGTCGAAAACCGGACACCTGGTCACTCACATGCAAATACTGAGCTATAGATGTGTAATGAATTTGTCATCAGGAAACTAAAAGGGAAGAACAAACTGTCATCCTGTACGTATGATTTTGACAGATTTGCTCTGCTTGTACTGAGCAGCTTGCACAGGGTTTTACTAGCTCTTCCCACCGCTGTGTTAATAAATAGCCTTTACCGTCCGTGTTCCCACAGTTTGGAAAGCCAGCCTTTCACTCGTCTCTTCTGGACTTCATACAGTTGAAAACATAATTTGGTTGGTAGGTTTTGAAGTTCAGCATACAAGACTGTAAAAGAAAATGTAAGCTGAAGCTGCACATTCAAAACAGAAATTAATAACAGGCTAGACATGCAAAAAGAATGGGATTAATGTAGACACACAGGATATGTTCTGGCATCCAAAGAAAATTCCAGAAATTCAGGTTTTATTGACACAGTAGTCCATTAGCTAGTGTAAACTTCAGTATTGTAGGCAGTAACATTTCTCTGATCTTGCATATTCATCTCTTCCAATGTTCTCATGTAGCAGATTATTTTTTAAATCATTTGATGCAGTAAGTAGACAAATGTTTAAAACGGCATAGGGCTAAATTGTCATAACCAGATTTTATGAGAAGCGGTCACTTTTAAAGTAGGTTAAACTCTTCATGGGTAAAGAAATAAGTTGAAATGCCTATTCTTGATGTGTCTTCTGTGTATAATGGAACTAATGAACCAGCAAATTCCATCTTCCAGAATAGATGGACGTGTTCTAGTCAGATACCTGTAGGCCCAAACTGTAACAGGGCATTGGGAGGCACTGCTTTTAGAATATTCCTGTCACTAAAGTAATCTGTCTTGTTTGTATACATTTGGTCAGCCTGAAGGGTTGTCCTCTTAGTACCTCTGCTGTACCTTGGTGCATGTCTCCCTCCTTACTTCATTGCGTCTTTAACTGCAGACATCAGACATAGAAAGAGGGACCTTATTTTTTTTTTTTACAAAATCAAGTTTGTTCAGACATCTAAAAACTAGGCGCTAACAGTGCATGAAACTGGGACTTTGCAGTAACCTGCAGAAGTGGTAACCCAGCCCCCATTACTGTGTGCCTCACAATGTTTAATGTATTGATCCTCAAACACCCATGTGAGATAAGGAAGTGCTGTTCTCCCCAATTTACAGAGTGGGATGATTGAGGCAGAGATTAAGGTCACACAGGGTACGTCTACACAGCATTTTGGAACAAGCGGGAGCATGTCTCCCAGCCTGGGTTGACGGACTCGGGTTAGCAGGGCTTGCGCCAGTGCTCTAAAAATAGCTGTATGGACAGGGCTTTGATGTTGTGGCTCTTGGGTCCTGAAGCGCTTGGGTCCTGAAGCCTGCTTCCATCCCTAGACCTGGGCTGGGAAGCTCGCTCACTCACTCACTCTGAAGTTCTGTCGCCGGACCCACAGGGAGTCTGTGGCAGAACAGGGGATTGAACCCACGTCTCCTGTGTCTTGGGCTAAAATTTGCTTATTGATCCATCACTTAAACCTAATATAATATAACCGAGGCTGTGAGCCCAATCCCCTATGGACATGCACCCCATGCCAAGCTACGGAAGCTGATGTAGAACTTCCCCTCAGAATCTGGGGTCATCAGAGATTTCTGTATGGGAAAACGCCAAGGCTCACTCCGTCTTCTCTCAGGTAGTGTGCACAGAGGTGATATTCCAACCTCGTATAAAAGCTTTTCGGGCAGTCCCAGTCTCTTCCTACACTTTGTTCGTTACTCAGCAAGTCAGAGCTCCCCTCCTCCTAAACTCGAGGGCTGCACCTTGGTTTGGGTAGGTGGCTCTCATTGAACCGAATGGAAGGAATTGCCCCAATTCAGAGAGATTGGCTTTCTCACATCCAGGTTCTCTGTGATGTGTAGCTGAAGAGCTCTGTCTCAAAGTCACAGGGGCTTTGCAAACAATGGAAGGGTCATGGCCATTCAGATTCTGTTGGGCCGGCTGTGAAATGCTCTGGATGGTGAGTAGAGTCGTGCACTGAAATACAAAAACTGGTCGGAACCTGGTAACAATTATAATTCTGCAGAACAGTGGAAACTGACAACTTTTGAAATAAAAGAAGTTGGGATTTTGGACTAAGATTTTTTCCTCTCTTAAAAATTGAATTAAGTGCTGTTGGGAGGTGCCAGAGGTACACCTTGTGAGTCTGAATTTTCCCATTTATCCACAGAGTAGGTACAGCATGGGTAGCATCAGTATAAGCTTCCTTCACACTATACCAGCAGTGTTCTTCAGTCTTATTTTGGATGGCTCGAGATAGCCATCAACTCTTTTTGACTAAATTCTGACCAGTAGAATTGGTGCCCTCACATGACCTTAATTTCTCCAAATATGGCTGCCTCCCAGAAGAAATTAAGATACTTGTAAATTGTGGGATTGATCATTTGTGACTGCCTGGAAGGCATGTACTCATTACTCTGAATGAGTATGCCAGATTCCAAGATTCTGGATGTAAGGGATACACTTGAAATCACTTAGGAGAGAGGGAGGATATTTTGGTAACCATTGATGGGAAGGGCAAAGGTCAGCACTGGGATATTTCACATGTATTTAGAGGCCCACAGTGAATAAATGCCAAATTTCACAATTCTGGCTCAGTGGGAACATGGGAATTGTCCGTCAGTCATCCTGTTGCAAGGATCTGGATTATATTACGTAATATCTCCAACTGCCCTGCCCCCTTTCCCTACTCTGCAGGTTTTCTCTGGAATGCCTTTTATGTTTCGGATAGGTTTTTAGTCCCTGTCTACACTAGGGTTGTAGCTGTTGTGGTTTCAACTCCTTTGTGGATGGGCCTTTACTAACTGATCTTTAACCAAATGTTGAACAGTATGGGCAGAATGAAATGCTCTTAGATACTCCACCAAACACCACTCTCTACCCAACAGTTGAGGTTTTTATTTTAATTTTTTTTTAGTACATCACACCATGCATATTCTGCCAGGATTCTGTGTTGTTTGTTTGTTCTACAGCGTACTCTCCACTGCAGCTACTGCTATACAAAGTGTCTGTCTATTTACAGTTTGTTCTTGGCCTTAAGTTTGGCCGCTTATCTGAACCTGTTTGATCCGGAAATAAAGCCGGAATTCTGCTCAGACCAGGTTTCCTCACCAAATTTCCAACACCCCCTTCTTTCCCTCTTGGAAGCGCAGGTTTTTTGTGTGTGGTGTTTGGATCTATTTAGCTGCGCTGCCTTGTTTCAGCTATCCGAGGAGGGTGAAATTTAAGAACTAGAACAGTCAAAATAATAGGGATTTCATTGCACATGTTGTGAGCGTGTTCCATGGTTGTTTTTAGGTTTTGGAAGGCGGTGATGAAGGGATTTAAATCTGATCTTAAGCACTGAATTAGCATGTGATCCCAAAACATATGTGAAGCTGATCTTTCCTGTATTACAAATAATAAATCCTTGTGTGTTGTTTTTACGAATAATGCCTGGCATAAATGCTGAAGGACTAATTGGCTTTGTCTTCATTCCAATACCTAACATAACAGAGGTGTGTACTGGTCTGGATGAACCTGCTTCGCTTTGAGAATGTCATTGATCATCTAATGATGAAACGGGGTTTATCAAAGTGTGCAGCCCTGTTCTCTTGACACACATGATCAATGCTTGGGGAAATGTTTGTGCTCTGCATATATGCAGCATTGTGCCGCTTTATCTCTTTCTGCATTATTACCTGCTAGAACTCTTATCCCTGGTGCATCTTTTCTCTTTCTTTAGACACTGCAAACCTGATGCTTAGACCACTAAGCCTCTGGCTTTGATAATTACTGAGAAGGCACGTTCTCTTTTCTATGATTAATTGTACTCTCTCTGCATAGGTCTTTGAAGCTGTTATATCTTGGATAAATTATGAGAAAGAGTCTCGCTTAGAACACATGGCTAAACTGATGGAGCATGTTCGTCTGCCCCTTTTGCCCAGAGATTATCTTGTACAGGTTAGTGCATTTAAAGAAAAAAAAATCCTCACATTAAAACGGAGTGTAGTTCCTTCGCCTGTGCACTCCATTGTTTGAGCGCTTCTGTTGTGGGTGGTTTGGCATTTATCTGTGTCTGTGGGCGGAAGACCAGAGTCAATACTTTACAGCGTGCCTTCAATCTGAGTGGGACCTAAAGATAATTCAAGCACTGAAAATCCTTTTTCTCCCTGAATGTTTTCTGTATTCTACTGGGCAGTGCACCTTAAAACTGCCACAAATGTGGAAATATGTATTTTTTTTTTTTAAAAGGTCATCCACTTACCTGTTTTTATAGCTGGTTAAATTAAGGGTCTGATTCTGAAGCAGAGCCATGCACATGGGATTCCTGCAGAATCCAGATGGAGGCTTTTGGGAATATATGTGCTTCAAGACCCTACAGAATCCAAAAATGCTGTTGTTAATGTCACCTTTGCACTTCAACGTATTTTTTTTTTTTTAGGTTATATCTGCACTTCAAGCTGTGGATGTGATTCCCAGCTTGAGGAGACATAGCCACGGTAGCTCTGATGGAGTTAGCATGCTAAAAATAGTTTAGCCGCGGTGGCATGAGAGGTGGGAGGGGCTAGCTGCCCCAAGTATGTACTTGTCTGACACCATAGGCACGTACTCAGGGCAGCTAGCACTTCCCACCTCTTGTCACCATGGTTATTCTCTATTTTTAGCACGCTACTTCGATCAGAGCTATTAGGCACTGGTGCTGGGCTGAATTTCCTGGAAAAAAAAGATCAGCCTGCATGCTGTTGGACCACCTCTGTACCAGGACTGGTGTATCTGTGTAAATAAGTTAAACTTAGACTAGAGACAGACTCTACACCACTGATTTCTCCTTCACTGAGAAGCTGACCTGAAAGGCCCTAGAAGTCTGCTTCTGCTTGGGAGAGAGGGAGGGCTGATGTCAGAACAGGACACAGGTGTTGGGAGAAGGAGCAACAGTAATGGAAGTTGTAGTTGCTATATGTTAGGCTTTCGACATAAAACCAGCTAAAGCCTCCCCACCCCCAATATTCCCCAAGCCTCCCTCTGTATACAGCTCAACTGTTTGGGCATGATGTAAGTGATGGTCAGGGTGCAGGACTCCATCCTCCCCAGATAGAAGCGGCACTATTGGTGTAAAATGCCAATCCTTGTGTTTGAACTGGGTGCAAAGTGATTCCTGTCCTTTCAGGAAAATCAGTGCCTTTCTGCAGAAAGGATTTAGTTTCCAATATGAGGATGAAAGCAACCCTCATTGTTTGGATGCAGTTATGACTTCAGAACAGATAGACCTGCATAAACAGATCTTTAAAGATCTGGTAAGAAAGAGAGCAAACTTGGAAGTAAATATTGTGTGCCGTAGCAGGTCCTTACTGAAGACTCAGAATTTGCCCACTAATGTTGCTGCTATTCTATCTTTCTCACTGCGGTACTTTTACAAAAAAAAATCTCAATCTCTTTCCTATATTTTCGCTGAAAACTCCCTAGTGAAATACATCCATTCAAATAATCTTTATTGGCATTCCCAGACAGTTGAAGAAGAAGCTTTAATCAAGAATAACAACACGTGTAAAGACTTCCTTATTGAGGCCATGAAATATCACTTGCTTCCTCTGGATCAAAGGCAATTGATAAAGAATCCTAGAACAAAACCAAGGACTCCAGTTAGCCTGCCAAAGGTAAGCTAAATTCTCTTCCAAAATAGAGAAACTTGGGAGGGGAAATGTAGGTCTCTTTTTTTTTTATTGGTTTTGATATTGCCTCATTAGAGGCATCATCCACCTTTGAATGGCTAGAGCTTGTTCTCTTACTAGATTTCATTTGATTGATTCCTAATTCTGTTGCGTTTCAGTGGCTCTGATAGGGCATGACCCAAAGCCTGCTGACGTCACCCTGACAGTGGCACGGGTACTGGAGATTTCCCCATGCCAGGGGAATGCCCAGCAGAGGATGTGTGGCTAGTCTCCGATCCTTTTTGTGTTGCCTGAGCAGAACAGGGACAAGAATCTGCCTTGCAGTCTCCTTAAAATTGGCTACTATCCTGGAAGCGTGGAGGGTAGCAAATATTCTACCTGTCTTCAGAAATAGCTAGCATTTATCCTGGGAATTGCAGACCAGCGAGCCTAATTTCCGTAGGAGGGAAACTAGTTGAAATGACCGTTTAAAAATAGGGTTCGACACTCTCATGCATAACAAGAACAGCAGCAGTTCCATTAGATAGGCTAGCTGTTTTTTAGAAGAGCTAGAAAACCTTCTGCATTGGGGCATGAGCCAGTCACTAGCTGATGAGGGTTATGAAGATACTTCCTTTATGGGCAAGTAATTCCATAGTGGTCTATTACAGGGTTTTATTGCATCCTCCTGCGGTACTCTCTGTAGTATCAGGGACATGATACTGGAGTAGACTGGTCTGATCCAATATGGCAGTTCCTATGTTCCAATTTCCTACTGTTTGGTTCTCAAAATATTTCATTCTAGACCACCAGAAGTGTTGTGGGGGCAACTGGTGGCCTTGGGACTATAATTGACAACCGCTGGTCCATGGGATAGGCAGAGGTTAACAGTGCTCAGAGTGTTGGCTGAGATTTCTGCTGAGTGAAACAGCATGGATATTGTCCAGTTGGAGAGGGATATGGTGCTTTTAGCTCTCATTAGTTCATCTGCATGTTGGAGGCAGAGCCTGATATAGCAAAAAAAACAAACAACAAACAACCTTATCCGAAAACTGGCTCATAGCAGATTCTGAGCAGCGACTAAAAATAGATGCGGCACAAGCAAAAATAACTCAGAGATTCCCTGTATTGATATGGGAGCTGTGCGCTGCTCTGCATCCATGTTCATTAGTAAGAAAAAGATGGAGAAGAAAAATGCTACCCTATCCCCAAAGCATACAGGCGGCTTGCACAGAAAACTGAAGTTATTAATGAGAATTTCAGACTGTAAGATGTCAAATCACGTGCCTATTCCTCCAGATATAACCATAGGACGCTAGATTTCGTGAGACTGTGTACCAGTTTTATCTCAGGAGGCAGTATTCAGATATTGATTTGCTGGATTGTGGATACTGTTAATTTGCAGTTCTATAGTGTGCGCATCGTATTTGCCTACATATTGTGGTTCTTGATAGGAATTAATCTACAGACTCTACCTTTTGGGTTGTCATGATGAATGTGTCACTGTCCTTTACGGACCATGCGCCTGTATCATAGAACTGTAGAAACGAGAGGTGGAAAAGATTTGAGGTCAGCAAGTTCAGAGGTTCTCAAGGTTTTCTATACCATGACCCCAAAGTACGAAAGAAAAACCTACTAGCCGGGCCCCCCACCTCTGCCTTCTATCTAGCCGTAAAAAAAGGGAGGGAGGTTGTGATCCTGCTGGACCTTCCTCATTGAGAAACTACATATGGTCTTGTCTATTGCCCCTACCAATGTGGGATTGTTTCCTTCTGTATAATCTCCACTGCTTTGTCAGCGTCTCGTTTTAAGTGTCCTAAGCTCCATAGCTTTCCACCCTTTTCCTTGGGAGTATAGTCCACAATTAGTAGGTCACCCTTGTTAGGAAATGTTTCCTAATAACTTTTTACCTTGTCACCTCAATTTCATGCTATTGCTTCTACATTAAATAGTTATACAGAAGAGCTCTTCCCTTGTTTTTTATGCCCTGTAAATACTTCTAGACTGTTATCTAACCATCCCATTCCACCCCGACCCTCTGGGACTTGAACTCAGGACCTTTACATACTAGGCTACATAGTTTTTTCTTAGAAACAAGAGATCGGGTTTTGTTTTATTCCGCCGGCATGCTGTTTGTCTGTTCCAAGGCTAATTATCTTGGTACCAACTCCTCAGCCTTCTTAAAATACGGTTGTCTTGTGTAATGCTTGCTCCTGCTGGCATGCTGTGCTGTGATAAGAGGAATAAATCTCACTCTCAATAGCTGGAAAGAATAAGAAGTAATGTATTCAGACCAATGCACGAATCAAACTGCTTTCTCAATGAAGGAGCCAGCGACTGTTTCAAAAATCTGCTTGGGTTCCGCTGCCGCTTGGTTGCTATGGGCAACCATCAACTGCTGAGCTCTCATCGGGAACGTTCCCGTGTTCCCAAACACAACAGTCACGTGCAAGAAACGTGTAGTTCGGAGGCTTCAGAAGATGCATTGGGATTTGATTTTTTTTTTTCCTGCTGTTGATCAATATAAAGTTTACTAAGATCTACGCAATTTAGACTTAAAATGCACTGGATTTGTATCCGTGCACATGTTGCACCAGAGATCTTAAGAAGCTGACAAGGATCACACTCTGCAATCCACAGACAGACCTAATAATCCAGTGGTTCTCAAACTGTGGGTCGGGACCCCAAAGTGAGTCAGGACCCCATTTTAGTGCGGTTGCCAGGGCTGGCTTAGACTTGCTGAGGCCCAGGGCCAAAGCTGAAGCCTGAGACCCACCACCCTGGGACCGAATCCTGAGGTGGCAGGGCTTAGGTTACAGGCCCCCTGCTGGGGCTGAAGCCCTGGGGCTTCAGTTTTGCCCCCTCCCTCGCACAGGGTGGTGGGGCTTAGGCTTTGGCCCCCCATCCTGGGCCGTGGGGCTCGGGCGGGCTCAGGCTTCGGTCCCCACTCCTGGGGTCGTGTAGTAAGTTTTGGTGTCGGAAGGGGATCGCGGTGCAATGAAGTTTGAGACTCCCTGTAATACTCTAATCCCTTACACAGACATGGTGCTTTCTGGGGGAGTGGTCCACCTGGAGTGCTTCACTTATTTATCAGCATCAACTTTTGTCAGCATAACTCTGAAAACCGCAAATAAGCGGTGGTCTGGCCACTGAAACGACACTGAGGTCTTCTCCACTTAGAGCACTGGTGCATTGTGCATGTCTGTGGTGGGATAAAAAATGCTGCATTGGTTTATGCATGACAAAGGTAAATGTGACAAGGCACATGGGCAATAAATACATCAATGAGGTGATGGGCTGCTGGATTAAGGAGGGTTACAAAATGGGGGATAGACTTAGAAAAAGAATCCTCAGAGGTCATTTGAGAAAATTCTATTAAGACAGTCCTGAGAGATGGGACGTCCAGCCAGGAGTATGTCTGATTAGCCTTCAAATATGTATTTCCTCCCTTAAAGGCTAATGATTTCCATTCCCTTTGGTTCCTTTTCCTTGGCAGGGTGGGAATGGGGGATTTCCTTGAATCTCTAGGTCTCTTTACAACTCTTCTGCTGCAGTGGGAAAGGTTTTGAGGGAGAGTCCATGGGGAAATCCCGATTGCATAAGAACATAAGAGCTGCCATACTGGGTCAGATCATGGTCCATCTTGCCCAGTATCCTGTCTTGGACAATAGGCCATATCAAAGCTTCAGAGGGAATGTACAGAACTGGGTAGTTATGGTGTAATCCATCCGTCTTCCATTCCCAGCTTCTGGTAGGCAGAAGTTGACGGTTGCCCCAAGCATGGGGTTGAGTCGCTGACTATCTTGGCTAATAACCATTGATGGACCTATCCTCTGAATTTATCCAATTCCTTTTTTGAACCCAGTTATACTTTTGGCCTTCACAACATCCCTTGCCAATGAGTTCCACAGGTTAGTTGTGTGGAAAAAGTTCTTCCTCTTGTTTGTATTAAACCTGCTGCCTATTAATTTAATTTGGTGACCCCTGGTTAGTGTATTGTGTGAAAAGGTAAATAACACTTCTCTATTCATTCTCTCCCCCCCCCCCCCCAACACTATTCAGGATTTTTATAGATCTTTATCATATCCTCCTAGTTGTCTCTTTTCTAAAATGAACAGGCCTAATCTTTAGTCTGTCCTCTTAGGGAAGCTGCTCCACACCATTGGTCATCTTTGTTGCCCTTCTCTGAATGTTTTCCAGTCCCACTATATCCTTTTTGAGATGGGACGACCAGAATTGGACTTAGTATTCAAGGTGTGGGTGCATCATGGATTTATACAGTTGCAGTAAGATATTTTGTCTTTTTTTTTTATACCTTTCCTAACCGTATATTAGGAACTATTAACCTTTTTGACTGTTGCTGCTCATTGAGCAGAACTGTCCATGGTGACTCCAACATCTTTCTTTCGCAGCAGTTAGTTTAGAACTCATCATTATATATGGATAGTTGGGATTATGTTTTCCAATATGCATTACTTTGCCCTTATCAGCGCTGAATTTCATCTACCATTTTGTTGCCCAGTCACCCAGTTTTGTGAAATCTCTCTAACTCCTCAGTCTGCTTTGAACTTAATTATTTTGAATAGTTTTGTATTGTTTGCAAACTTTGCCAGTTCTCTATTTACCTCCTTTCCAGATTATTCATGAATATGTAGAACAGCCCAGGTCTCCTTGGGGGACCCTGCTGTTCACCTCTGTCCATTGTGAAAACTGTCCCTTTTTTGTTCATACCCTTTGTCTCTTATCTTTCAACCAGCTACTGATCCAGGAGAGGACCTTCCCTCTCATCCCATGGTTACTTAGCTTGAGCCTTTGGTGAGGGACTTTGTCAAGGCTCTCTGAAAACCCAAATACGTTATATTGACTCGATCACCCTTATTCCCATGCTTGTTGACTCAGAGAATTCAGACACATTGGTGATGCCTGACTTCCTTCTACACAAGCCGTGTTGACTCTTTCCCCCCACCCCCACCCCACACACACAAATTGTGTTTACCTGTGTGTCCGATCATTCTCTTCTTTACTATCATTCTGCCAATTTGCCTGGCACTGACACTAGGCTCATTAGCCTGTAATTGCCAGGATCGCCTCTGGAGCCCTTTTTAAAAAAACGGTATTACATTAGCTACCTTCCAGTCATCTGGTACAGAGGCCGATTTCAGTCATAGTTCTGCAATACTACTAACTGTGGTATTTAACCTGTCGTCTGGGCATAGATCCCAGAGATCCAGTCCAACCCAAAGAGAGCACCTCTGTCTCACCAACTGTCCCTCAAGAACCACGTTGGTGCTTTGTGGCCTCTGAGTAAGAGCCATAAGTGGGGATTTGAAAATGTAGGGATTGCATTAGAGTGAGGGGAAAGGGCACAGCAACTCCATAGAGATTGGCCATAGAGCAAGATTTCCTAAGGGGGAAGTATCCCATCCCCCAGAGGGGGAGAATGCAAAGAACTTTGGGCAGTCTTTGGGGCCGTTGAAGTTCTGCTGACCCAGTTGGGTTGCTTGAGGAATGATAATTGGTGGGCTGAAGCACCCTGATGCAAGCCAAAAAACTGCTTGCAGACCAGCTTGTGGGAGGGGAAATCTTTTGATGTCTATTGAGGTCAGCATAAGCACAAAAGCCTGCTTTCCTTGTAGGTTTTCCCCCTAAACAGTATGTAATAAGCTGTATTCCCAGGCGTATAGGTTCTCTAGGGGCAGATTCCCAAAGGGACCAACCCTTTTATGCCTTTGAAAAATCTCCCCTTCTCCCCGCAGAGACAGCCCCTCAGCCGTCAATATAGCTCACTTTGACTAGGTTCTGGTAGCGGTTTTTATTTTGCAGGATGCAGCCCGCTGTGTAAACGGTCCTTGACCTAAGGGGTTCCCTTCTCTTGTTTTTCCTTCCCAGGTAATGATTGTGGTTGGTGGGCAAGCGCCCAAAGCCATCCGAAGTGTGGAGTGTTACGATTTTGAGGAGGATCGGTGGGAGCAGATAGCTGAGCTTCCCTCCCGGAGATGCAGAGCAGGTAAGTGGAACATGTCCAGTGGCCTCTATCATTTTCCTGCTAAATTCCTTAGGGGACAGAAGTGTATTCAACCCCTCTCTGTTCCCAGCCACCAACAGCTCTGCCTCCCACCAAGATCCAGGAGAAGGCTTCACTCCCCCAAATGGGCACAAAGCCACCTCACTCCCCACTACTTCCTCTATGCTATTCCTTCCATCTCCTCTGGCCTGGCTTCACAGTGGGAGCCAATTTTACCTGCTGGCATTCCAGTAAAGAGCTGGGAACAGAGGTCATTCGCTGGACTTGCAGTTTGAAAGAGAAGGGATTTTTCCTAGCAGAGGTGAGATATGTGGGATTGAAACTTGTTCGTCCTTGGAGATCTGACTGACCCTACCATCCAGAAGTGCCCTCCGGATCCATACTTTTCTCCCCCTCTGAGGCACCTTGAAATTAGCTGGGTCCCATACCCACCTCAGAATTAGCAGGTTCCCCCTGGTTTTGTGTGTGTGTGTGTGTGTGTGTGTGTGTGGTGCGTTATTTTCCCTACAATCTGTACGGTCTCTTATTCAGATCTGATGGTCATATAGAGCAAGTAAATGCTAAACATTTGCAAATGTCCTATTCATCCCTTCTCTGTTACAAATATCAACAAAGCATCTAATGGCATCTCTTTTCCAAGCTACCCGTAGCTGCGGTCTGATCTCTAAACCTAACTCGGAGACTTAAGTCTCTCTCCCCTTCTAACAGGTGTGGTGTTTATGGCAGGCAACGTTTATGCGGTCGGGGGGTTTAACGGCTCTCTCAGAGTGCGAACTGTAGACGTGTATGATGGCGTGAAGGATCAGTGGACGTCAATTGCCAGCATGCAGGAACGACGAAGCACTTTGGGGGCAGCTGTGCTGAATGAACTCCTGTATGCTGTGGGCGGATTTGATGGAAGCACTGGTATGTTACTGCACAAAAGCCAGGCAGCCAAATGAAATGGATATTGTACTAGTTCTGTGTTCTCCAGGTCCCTCACAGGGAATGCAGAGCTCTGTTGAAAGTGCAGCCATTGAATGGCAAATTCCCTCGCAGTAGAAAACCGCAGTTAGTTCCGACCAGTTCTCCACACCTACGTTTCTAGCATTGTGTTTTGACGTCTTGTGCTTATTATTTTTTTTCCTCTAGAAAGTACGAATTTATTCAACAAGAATCTGACGCTTTAAAAGGAAATGTTTTCATAGCAAACATCTTTGGTTTTTGTAGGGATCTTGCTATTGCAAGGCAAGTGATTCACTGACATTCACTTTTTTAAGTGACCATCCACAGGAGCAGCAAAAATCCTGATTTGCTAGTAGATCTAGTTACTGAAGATGGGATTGGGAATGATGGAGATATTTTAAAGTGCTTGATTCAGAGGCAGCTCACTGTTGGAAAGTATCGGTATTCTTGGCGGGGTCTTTTTTTGCTATGAAATAATAGTTACATTCGCTTTGCAGTTGTGCTTGAATGGTTCAAACTAGAGCTGAGCAAATAGTTCATTTCTAAAAACTCTACCTCTTTCTTGAATACCTTAATTGTTCTGAAATCCTGTCCACCGTGATCTCTGCAAACATTTCTTGAGCTGTAGTTTGCTGGTGAGCTGTTCAATGCAATTATTTTATACTGAAATTTTCAACTGTTTGTTAATTTGGTTTTGCCAGAGGTCATATGGTCTTGTTTTCTTTCCTGTTTGGGTTAGATTAAAACTTCTCTTTTAGAATCAGTTTTCTGGTGTAAATACTCAGAATTAGCTTTCTGTAACTATTCTCTGGTATACACTAACAATTTCCTTTTTAGGCAAATGTTCTTTCCAGTAAACGGTTCGCTTAGAACATACATGGAAAGTGATCACAACATGCAGCACAAATGCAGTCAGAGCAGCCTTATTTAAGAATTTGAATGAACATTAATACAAAAATGTTCTGAAGTATTTGACCCGCTCTAGTTCAAACCCCAGATTGACCATAGTTTCATACTGTTTTAAATGGAGATGGGTGAACTGGTTTGGATTAAACAAATGCCTTCTCTGAACTTGTGTCAAGGTGAAATACTTGCTTGTCACTTCTCCCACACCCTTCCTTGTCCTTCTATTTTGCACACTTCAGTGCTTCCAGGTTCTGCCCAGGACTGGAAGGGAAAGTGCTGAAGTTACTGCAGGAGACTGCTTTTGCTGTATTTCCAGCTGTATTTGAGACCCACACGCTTCAGAAAGTTCAGATAAGCATCCAGATTTTGGGTGTTTATGCAAAACTAACTCTGCCCTTCCCGAAGGGCTTGTCTACACAGGCGAGTTTTACCAGTTGTACTGGCATAGTTACTGTAATATAGTTATATTGGTGGAACTCCCTGTGTGGACACTTATTCTGGAATAAGAGAGGCTTTTTAAACCCTTGCCAAAGTAACAAAAGCCAAACCAAAACAAAGCTGTCTTGTATCGGAATAAGAATGCCCGCCTGGCTGTTATCCCAATGTAAGCATAATGGTTTCAGTTCACACCTTAGCTTGTGCTGGTATAACTTTGCAATGTAGACAAGCTCCCAGTTACTTTTACAAGCTTGTGATGGGCAAACCTCAGAGGACTTAAAGGGGCAGTTTTAAAATCTTTGCATTGGATTGATTTTAATGCTGCTTGAAAGGACATTTTGCTGTTGGACTATCCCAGCTGAAGAGCTTGGGGTCTAGGCCCCAGATCCAGTCTCTTATTCCAGCACGTTAGCCGTGGCAGCAGCCCTGGGACGGGGAGTCATCTGGCAAGGCTCAATCGTAATCTTCCTGGCTGCAGAAGGAGCAGCACTGATGGGCCAGTACCAACCTGCTTTTCCTTGCCTAGCAGGAAAATGGCCACGCAACTGCCATGGGGGCGGGAAGGGAATTAATAACCATGGGAAACTTCAGTCTAGGTCACAGGGGAAATGCGTCTCCTAAGGGGGAGAACAGTACAATGCTAATCTTTTTAATTAGAAAACCTATGTATCCCCTTTTTAACTAGGTCTGGCATCAGTAGAGGCCTATAGCTATAAAACCAATGAGTGGTTTTTTGTGGCTCCCATGAACACAAGAAGAAGCAGTGTTGGAGTTGGAGTTGTGGAGGGTAAGAATAATAGCAGCCATTTCAGTCACTTGAATACTACTATTTAAAACGAAAACCCAAGTGGTTAAAGTCTGAGTTCCTGCAGCAAAGGGGCAGGAGCTGTTCTCCAAACAATCCCTGAGGTAACCTGCTGCCAGATGAGCACAGGAACAAGCCAGGCCAGTTTCTAAAAGCTGCATTCTAGAGGTTTGTTCATTGGGAAAGATTTTTTTTTTTAATGTGACTGAATTGCTGCAGCTTTGAATAGTCTCTCTGTTGTGTGGGAAAATTGTATGTTTTGCCATCCATGCTACATGGCACGGGATCTTGATACTGATGCTGGGCCCAACCGCAGCTGGCCACCTTTCCTGCTTTGCGTGGGGCATTCTTAGTTTTTTGGTGGGACAATAACGTCGTCTGAGACACTTCTGGCCAGTGAAACAAGGCACCGTGAGGGTGTTTCTGTTGTGGTCATCAGCAAGCATCGTGATAGACAATGGCAATCGCAAGAAGAAGACATTTAAAAATCTGCCCTCCAAAATGAAGGCTGAAGTGCAGTTAAAAATCCTGGCACCTTAGTTGGGGGGCGCACTGCCAACAAAATCATAAGATTCTGCAGTTGTTTGCATCGGACTCACGTGTTGCATTGCCCATCCTGCGTTGTGCATAAATGGGGAATTTACAGTAACAAATGTCAGTACCATGCCAGCTCAGGAATGGGGCAGGGAAGGATAAGGGGCAGTTGCATTTGTTGAAACAGCCATCAGCATGAACATGTAAGTATGAAAGTCCTGAGATCTGGTGCCAAGTGGGTTGATTTCATTTTACCTTGCTTAGAATCCAGGGGAACAATCACTTTAGAATATGAATATCTTTCCATTCTGTGGAACTTGGTGGCAATGTTTTTATTATGTAGCCCTAATTGCAGCGGGTTGTAGCTGTCTCCCATTAGTACAGTGTGTAGCGATTGGTTGGTGGAGTTAGCCCCAGTATGTTACAAACTCCAGTTCCTGGGATTGCAAATGGGCTGGTTTGGCCAGTAAACGGGAAGGGATTGGAAATTTTTTTTTTTTAAATGAGAGGCGGAGAAGGAGAGGAACCAAAGTCAGTTTCTCTTTAAGTAGTGATAGAGCGGCTAAAATCTGCTTAGCTGCTTGTGGAGTTTAATAATAATTTCCTTAATTATTGGCATATTCATATGCTTATGATGTGCTTAGTAAACACTGATACTTGCATCTGAAGAAGTGAGGTTCTTACCCACGAAAGCTTATGCTCCCAATACTTCTGTTAGTCTTAAAGGTGCCACAGGACCCTCTGTTGCTTTTTACAGATTCAGACTAACACGGCCACCCCTCTGATAATGGATACTTACGAAAAGGCAAAGTGGGTCATACTCAGTTCAAGTGCTTAACAGAGATTTAAGAAATACTATGGTAACTTTTCTTTTAAACAAGGCAAAACAAATGCATGTGTAGACCCTCTGGAGCAAAAATAGCCAAGTGTCTTGGAGTTGAACAGTTTTTAAATCAGCAGGAGCTAATAACAAATTTGATATAGGGCTTAAGCCACTGTCCAGAGTTAAACAATACCCCCAGAGTTCTAGCAACAGAGACTGAATATGGTGAAAATGACCTGGTGCCTACAGTTATTGACAATAACTAATAGTTGATGCAGACCAACAAATGTTACCTTGGTAGAGCATAGTCAGCACCAAAATATTTCCTGCTTTGATGTGTTAACCTAAAACACCAGCTGGGTTGACGTAACTGCACAAATAAGTGTATGAAATGTCTAAAGAGACAGTAACAATTACCCGTATGGAAGTGTAAGAAACTGATCTTGCCAGGGAAGTGTGATGGGACTGACTTTGACTTAAGCCAGTCTTCACCAGTAGGAAGAAAGGCAGCGTGTCCTCCAGGACCTGAGTGTAGACAGGCTTATTAGCGTTCATATTAGGCGAGGTTCAGACTGGTGCATGGGCCCCCACCACACTTCAGTTGTGCTTAATTTGAGACTCAATTGGTACAAAGGGCTTTTCAGGGACCCTCTGATATGGGTGAGCTCAATACCCTGTACTGTTGAGATTAAAACAAAGAGGAGAATTAAATGCTTTACATGGCAAATTGGAGAAAGGGAGGCTTTCTTGGCAAGGCTTATGGGAGGGCGTTTAAAGTGAAATTAGACAGTATCTATTTATTGAGTTGTATAGTGCACTAACCAAAAGGGGCATGCTCTCGGCACCTGTGGCACACTCTTAAAAATACCCATAAATCCCCAGACTCCAGCAGTTACCCACTGATGATACTACCCAGGAGCAGCATTGAGAAAGATGTAATAATTCCCACTAACAAAGTCACTACCAGAGTCACCCTCTGGAAGGACACAGGTTTCCAGTGTTTCTTAGTATGAAACAGGATAGAAGGAACAAAAGACTGGTGCTGGTTCTGGTTCTTGTGAACCTCTCCCTTGTACGGGTCAGCAGTTACTCATGTGCGTGGTCACAGTCAGTGGTGCTGTATGTAAGGATTTGTGGCCGGGACCCCGCTGTATGTGCTAACGCTGTGAGAAGGAAAATAGCCTGCATCCTCTTAGTTGTAAAGCCATTAGGGAAAGAAGATGGAAAAGACCAGACTGATTTGTAAAAACAGACAGCAGGAGGGTCACAGAGCAAAGGGGTGAGCGACCCATTTAGGTTCATGTTGTACCTCACAGAATGTAAGTACTGTAATCCTGTTCACCTCAGGAGGGTTTGGGGCAAAATCTGAGGGTAGAGTTTAATTATTATTTTGTTGACAATGCTGCTCCGGGATGCAGCCTCGCTAGATGCTGGTCACTTTTTTTTTTTTCACATTTGTTTGTTGGGGGTCCCAATCGTACACATGGCCCTGGCATGCATGAGCACAACATGATGCTATACGCTCAGTCCAAAGGAGCAGACAACCTTGAGCTGCAGTTACAACATCGGCTCACTTTCGACTGGCGAGGATTCTTCAAAATAGGGATTTAGTGTTTCTTAACCATAGCCTGTTGCAGTAGAGTAGGTTATTCTGTGTTTATTGCTTTCATGGCATCTTAAATATTGCACTGTTTTCAAACCAGAAGGTGCTATTGAAGTGAATGTAATTTAGCTCCTATGTAAGACCCCTGTGAGGTAAATATTAGCTCCATTTTACGAAAGCAGAGAAATTGGAATGTTGTTCCCAAGGCAACATAACCGGCCAAATTCATGGTTGAGATAGTGTCCTAAATAGGTGACACTTCCACATAGTTCTGCCCCCTTTACAGTGCATGTTAGACTAACTTAGTCTCCCTCTGAATCAGTTAGATTCATGCCCACTTACTAATATGTAGCTTGCATATATTGCCTTTACGCATCACCTCTGCATTTGGCTAAGTGAATATAGGGGAGCATACATCAGCATAAAGTATGTAACAGACAGAAAATCTAGCAACTGAATGGGAGGACATAAGGATGTGTAAGTTAAAGCAGGTGAAAACCTGCTTTAAATGGACACCTTCTCCCTGGGTTCCTGGGTGTATCAGCTGGAGCAGTTTAGAGTCCCTTACACATCATAAAGTGGGTTTTAGTAGGTCTGAGGGTCTGATTGTGTTTTCCTACCTCTGAATCTGGTGCAGTGAATCACTTGGTAGAACTGGATTAGAACTCCAGCCTTCTGGGATCCCATCCTCCTGCATTTCCCTATGGAGACAGTGTTAGTGTTAGCCACTTAAAAATGGGCACATCAATTGTGTATTAGAGTGCCCCCCCACACACACACACCCAAAAAGAGAGACCTATCCAATGGCACCCCAATCTCAATTGGTTCTTTAGGCACTACGGTAGTCTACAAATGATTGAGGATGATGATGATGTACCCTATTATCAGCAGATACTGAATGCACCCATTTCTTTCTGATTAGTCTGTGCCGTGTTTGTTTCTTGCAGGTAAGCTGTATGCTGTGGGGGGTTATGATGGAGCATCACGTCAGTGCCTTAGTACCGTAGAACAGTATAATCCGGCTACAAATGAATGGACCTACGTTGCTGATATGAGCACTCGGCGCAGCGGTGCAGGTATCGATTCTGAGACACCTTTAAATAAATCAATCAATCTGTTTCCTGCTTCTCGGCAGCATTTAATTCACATACATCTGGCTTTTATTCCCGGTCACTGCATGGTGAGGAAGTGAAGAAGGTGCGTTCTTGGGCTGCTAGTTCTGACTGAGAAATGGCATCACGACTATTGTCTCTGAGTAGCTTCCATATCAAACTTGCCTTGTCCGTATGGTAAAAAAGACAGTTTTTCTAATTGCCAGCCCTGCAAACTCACCCTGGGACCAGAAAGTCAGGCTCTGACTATACCATCACTTGCACCTTCCACCACTTCATTTCTTGTCCTGTGGGCTTCCTCTTGATTTCCATAGGTCACTGTATAGTAGGTGTTTCATCGATCAAAATTCACCTGCAGCGAGTGACCTAAAAACCGAGTTAAAGCAGTTTATTTCAGCTTAATGAGCGCTCCATCTCAACACAGTTTTTAGTGAGTGGACAGGTCAGAGGATTGTGGAAGACAGGGAACAAGGAATTTGTTTCCATTCTTGACTGCTACTGAACTTCAGTGCCTTTTCCTAGTCTGTTGGCATGGGGATAATAATGCTGAGCCACAGTGCGTAAGTATTTTGTATCTCTGGATGAAAGATGCTATAGAAGTTTTATCATTATGGTGTAACACGTGCAGTGGAAACTCACTTTTGCTGAATGTGAACATAGTGAAATTTATGTTTAAGGTGCAGTTCCCACCCTGCTCCTAGCACTGGAAATACATTCTGACTAGGGCCCAAAGTCAACCCTTTCCTAGGGGCTTGCCTTTATTACTAGCTGAAATAATAACCGTGCATAAGCCTCAGTAAGAATTTTCTGCTTGACTGGTTGTAGCACTCTTCTCTGCAGGACCTCTCTCTGCCCACCTGGTCTGACATCAGGGGGAGTCAGCAAAAGAGCTTTACATCTCTGTGCATGGCCACTGAACCTGCCCCACCCTGTCTTACAGGGAAATAGAATGAATATCCCACATTTTCAGTCCATGGCAATGTGCAGTTGACGTTCCTTGTTTATAGCAATTCTGGTTATAATGAATCTCTGCTTTTGGTGAAGTTTCCTTATTAAACTGACTGTTCTGGGAATCCTGCTTTAAACGTACTTCTAAAACGAAACACAGAGGCAGGAATACAGTCTCTAATATTCTGAACAGGCTCTCAATTTCCTGCCGAATACTCTTGTTCATTTTCTTTTCCTCAACTGGATATGAGGTGCAGCAAATTACGGCAGTTACCAAAACAGGCAGTGAATTTTCCTCTTCTCAGGGGAAAATGCCAGTAATGGAATTCACTACTTAGAGCAATAAAAAGTGACTATCAGTATAACACTACTCCAATAAATAAAACCACATTCAGTGCCTCCAGCATCATTGGCTCAATGCTGCCATCTAGTGTTCTTTGGGAAACAAGTACTCCTGTATACTGGATAGTTGCAGTTTAATTTTGATTGCTAGTTGCAGGCCCTGTACAGACTAAAAAAATACATGTATTCTGGCAGCGCATCAGCAGGCCTCTTTCTGTGTACTAGGTCAACAGTAAAGAATCCCATTCATTCCTGAAAGGGATGTCCTCTCTCTGGATCTGACATACCCTGCATTGATGCAGATGGAAACCTACAGGCATTGCAGATGCAGAGGCAGTTTTAGGCTGGATGGGACATTTCTAACTTTATTAGATTAGGAGAGGAAAAATAATTTAACCAGCTTCTTTAACATTTGGTTGCACTTAATATTTAAAAAAATGATTTGGAAAGTGTTGCAATTCCAGTGTGAATATTTCCAAGTGTAACACGTTGTCTCATTAGTGACAATTCTGCCCATTTCCCACTGTTTCCCAATAATCACAGTATCAGAACACACATGCTGGGTCAAATCCAGAGTTACTCCACTGAACCTGGAATTTGGCCTAATATTGCTGATAGGTTTGTTTCTCTGGCGAGCAAAAGTTAAATACTGTATGTAATAGAGAGTTGCCATGGGCTAGGGTAGTTTTGTTTGGCTGCTGACATCCGTCTGTGTTACTTTCTTCTGACTCAGCTGGAGGTGGTCCAAACCATCCCAGGTGTGTAGTAGGGATTGGGGCATACCTGTGAATGAGGCCCGCTTGGCTAAAACGGAGGTCAGATAGGATAGAAATGATGTTGGTAGGTCAGGGACAGCACAGCTACCACCTCTGTAGAGGTGGTTGTCTCTGCCTTTTATTACTCACGTTCAGTCTGGTTAATTTCTCTCCTGCTGTTAGCTTTTTTCCATCAGTTACTGCAGCACATCCTAAATCTAATGCAATGGCCAGTGTAGTCCCATTGACCTCTATGGGATATAGGTCAGACACCTAACTGAGCAAGTTGTTGGGTGAAATACAAGAACACAATAAAAACCAGTGGGCCCCTTGTTTAAGGTAAAGGTGGGAGCTGCAGCTTCGTTCCGTTGGAAACTGCCACTGGTGGAGGTGCACGTTACAGCCGTGTTCTAGGATCTGAACTTGCTGCTGATTGGATTAAGACGGTGATGATTTACTTTGTAATACCATGGGACCTGCGTGCCTAAAATCGCTCCTCTCCCCATGTCGCTGTACTACAGTTGCTAATCACTAGAGGCACTTGAGCAGGGTCCTGCATGGCTTAAAAGAGAGGGTTTGGCCAGCAGGGAGCTACCTGGGGGGCATTTGACTTTAGAACTCCTTCTCTTGCCCCAAACAACCTGAATGTGTTGACCGCTAGAGCATGGGAGGAGGGCCGAGATGGGGGTGTGGAGCCTCTGGCTAGTGCATTTTGGATCCGTCTTTGTTTTATTAACATTCTGGCTGGTTCATTTTGACTGGTCTTGACGCTGCTGCTGAGAATAAGTTGCTGGATGTGCTAATTCACATGGATTGTCAAAGGCACCTAAACCAGTGGCTCCCGGCCTCAGTCTGTGGCCACTGGTACAGTGCCTATAGCTGGCTGATCACATGAGGCCGGCTCACCCGCTTCCCTTACAGGGTCAAGGCCTGAGGGCCTGCGAACACAGTGGCAGACAAGGAGGAGCCAGCTTAGTTGTCTCTCTTCAGGGCAGCTGCAGCTATGTTAAGGTTAAAAGAGGAGCCATGGGAGAAGAGAATGTAGCACCCAGGCAGTATGCACAGGAGGAAGAGGGAGAGAAGAGGTTTCAGTAGCTGGGGCATCATGACCAGAAGAAGAGGAAGAAGGGAATCAAGTGCAAGAAGGTCGGTGCAAAGTATATGGAGACCAGCAGACAAAGAAGCTGCGGGAACAGAATAGCTGGGAGAGAGGAAGAAATGAAGAGCAAAAAATAGACCATGTGATTAACCTGTATTTCAAAAAGGCAAATGCACATGAGGGGGAGAGCTAAATATGCAGTAAATACCTCCCCACCGTGACTGCTCGTATACAGAACTGCTGTAGCTGCAGTCATGCTGTTCCACAATCCGGAATGGGAAGGGAGGTGTCCACCCTCTCGCGCTTTTTCTCCAGGGGTGGTCCGCAGTATGGACACGACTAACCCAGCACACGAGGCAGGCCTATTAAGTTCCCGGTGCTAACGATGTGAAATGTCTGTCCTGTCCGGGTCTGGCTAATTCTGTTCTCTGCTTGGCAGGCGTCGGTGTTCTCAGTGGACAGCTATATGCTACTGGAGGGCACGATGGTCCCTTGGTGAGGAAGAGTGTGGAGGTTTATGATCCAGGAACAAATACCTGGAAACAAGTTGCAGATATGAACATGTGTAGAAGAAATGCAGGTAACCACTGTTTGTGTTCTGTCTGTATTTTCATTTGTTTCTTCGGTCATGTGGGTGTATTTAATGGTACTGTGTGCACACGGTTAAAATGCAAGATTTTGGATGTACAGGCGCCTGTAATGAAGAAAAGATGGCGCGTGAGGGGTGTAGTAGGATACAGAATCTAGAGTTTAACAGTGTGTCCGTTTTATTCGTAGGTGTGTGTGCTGTGAATGGGCTACTCTATGTGGTTGGAGGAGATGATGGTTCTTGCAATTTGGCCTCTGTAGAGTATTATAATCCTGTCACTGATAAATGGACGTTACTGCCAACAAATATGAGCACTGGAAGAAGTTATGCAGGTAAATAGTCAGGGGAAGAGGTGGGAACAGAACTTGGGATATGCCAGCTACCAAATATGTGCCCAGCCGCCCCTACTAGGTCAAGGAGTGTCTATTCCTTAACCTGAGGACTGTGCCTCCTGGCCACTTGGTCTTTTCATTTGATGCCCCACAGGGCTTCCATTGGAGAGGATTTCTTCACAGAACTGGGGACGCCAACTTTCTTTGCACGCTCTGACTGCCGGTCTTGGGCTTTGCAGCCTGTGCTTGTTGCAGCACAACCCAGCAGTTGCGCCAAAGCGTATGTGAGGTCTGTTTGTCCGTTCTCTCAACAGGTGTGGCTGTGATTCATAAACCATTGTGACACCTACTCCAGCTAATGCAAGGAGCAGCAGTGAAGTGAATCGCCGTGGGTGTTCTCGAGGAGAGGCCTGACACCTGATTGAATCCAACTTACTGCTGTTGAACTCCTAGCGTGGCAAGTGCTGCATTAAGAACTTCCCCTTCCGTGGATAGTGCAGCGACGTGCCAATCCTAAGGTGTTGCTTGTTGTCCTTGGTGCAATCAATTCTCTCTGAACAGCCGGTTTCCTGGGATAAACATTGTGCTTAAACTGATACCGGAGAGACTGAATTTCGTGTGTGAAACAAAACGCTACTGTAGGGCATGTGAGTAAAAACCAATATACTGAATGTCTTCACTACTGATACTTTGTACACACCTTGAGTTAAGCTATTTACTCACTGCTCCTGGAACTTACTACTGACAGTGGAATCTTCTAACCACCAATCATCAGAAATATACTGGACCGGGGTGCTGGCTTGTGTTTGACTCTGTCTCAGTCACATGTATATATGTCACTGGACAACTGTATGTATCCCTAGCACACTTATGATATGATTGGAGATGTACATTGGATGATTGTTTTGCTAGTCACATAGCTGCTTTTATATACAGGATAGGATGTGCTGGGCAATGGTTTGCCCAGAGAAAGGTGAATACCCCACCCCCCAAAGGTTGTTAATCCCACAGGAACATGCTGCTCTGGAGGGCCTTATTGCTCCCATAAAACATGTACTGTTCGAACTAAAAATCAAGGAAGAAAGTCATACCTCTGTGTCCTGCATTTCAAGGCCATTTCGGAACAGAGCATTTAAACATAAGGGTGTGTCTTACTGAGTCATTGACACGTCTCACCTGTATCCAGCCAAATAATCCTCCCCTCACCCAAGAAGTGATTAAAGACCAAGATAAAATGCCTACAGTGTCTTAACGCTTCCAGAAGAGGGAAATGGTATTCTTCAGTGCCATTGTTCTTGTTTTTAAAGTGTTTTCTGTGTTAAATACTTTCTTCCATCCATACCAAGTAGTTAGCAGGAGCCTTTATAAGATCCTCCCAAAAAGGGATTTTAAATAGTGAAAGCTGGGCTCTGCTGTGACTTTTAATAATCTCACTTGTACCAAAGTCCTGCTAGTTTGTTTTCCCTTTGAAAGGATGGAGTCAGCTTGCAAATCATGTGTGTGACACTTCTGGGTATCTGCTGTAGTTAAAAGTAACACCAAAGGGCCCTGAAAGTTGTTTGGAGGTCGGGGGTGTGTGTGTGAAATAAAAGGTTTTTCCCCCCTTCCCCCATCTCACATAACTTTGTGCATTTTACAGGAATTTTGGTAGAGTCAGTTTCGCTGTTTTCCCTTATAGAGCCAATCAGAGCTTTCCTATACAGGGAAATAGACCTGCAGAATTACAGCTGTATTATTATTCTGGCATAGCTATAATGGTATAGCTCCCAAAATAGACTCAGGGCTTGTCTTCACTACCCGCCCGGATCGGCGGGTAGAAATCAATCTCTCGGGGATTGATTTATCGCGTCTCGTCGGGATGCGATAATCGATCCCCGAATCGACATGCGTACTCCACCAGCCCAGGTAAGAGTAAGCGCCGTCGACCGGGGAGCTGTGGCGGTCGATTTGCCGCTGTCCTCACCACGGGGTAAGTCAGATCAGATACGTCGAATTCAGCTACGCTATTCCCGTAGCTGAATTTGTGTATCTGAAATCGATTTCCTCCCCCCCCCCATAGTGTAGACATAGCCTCAGAGACTTGAAGGTCAGAAAGGACCATCATGATCATCTAGTCTGACCTCCTGCACATTGCAGGCCACAGAACCTTACCCACCCACAGACTGTATTCCAGAATAAGTGACTTTTTCTAAGTGTAGCTTATATTGCTTCAGAGGCAGTTTACGCTATACTGAAGAAGTTACTTGCATTACAGTATTCACTTTGGGAGTTATACCACTACAGCTATGTCGGAATATTTATACCACTATAATTCTGCCAGTCAGTTTTCCCATGTAGACAAGCCTTCAATATCTCCTTCCTCAAAAAGCTTTCAGTATCTTCCTTGCTCTTAGAAACATCAACATGGGAGTAGAAAAACCCTTTAAAATGTTGTTTAAAGCATATAAAAATAAGTCATGATGTGCTGATTTTAAAGGGAGATTGATCAGGAAGTGGAATATTTTAAAATGCAGGGCTCGTCTACATGGAGACTTAGTGCATGGCAAACTGGGGTATAAATCTACACTGCATTCGTTTGCCATGCGCTCACTGGCTGTGACATCAAAGTGCACTAAGGAACTTCTAGTGCATGGGAGCAGGGTCCACGTGCCTAGCAGGCTAGTACACTGTAGATTTACACCCTGTCTTGTTGTGCACTAAGTCTCCATGTAGACAAGCCCAAGTGGACAGTGTCCCTTTAACCTGGATGCCTGTGGCTCAGCCCCATTGACTTCAGTGGGAGCACTGCGTAGGCATATGAGCGGTGCATTTGATCCTCACTAGGGAAAGGTCAGTAGCATCCACTCACTCTGTCTTGTAAAGCTAAAAGTGAACTGTCCACTGGAATGACGACATTGGTATTGGAGAGACAAGGTGGGTGAGGTAATACCATTTATTGGACCAACTTCTGTTGGTGAGAGAGACAAGCTTTTGAGCCTCACAGAGCTCTTCAGCTCTGGGAAAGGTACTCGGCGTGTCGGAGCGATAAGCAAGGTGGAACAGATTGTTTCGCATCAGTAGTTAGCACATCTTCCCAATGACTACAACTACACTGCATGCAATATTGATACTGGCAGCTGGGGGATTGTGGGTCGGGTGAGGGGGTTCTGGAAATAAGTCAAGAAAGCAGAGCGTCCCATAAACCCTCCTCCACCCCTCGCTCCACGCTCTACCATCCGTATATCTGAACAAAATCAGTGACATTAGTAAAAATCATGGTTCTGCCAGCTGATGCTTTACTATTATGTGTTGGCTCCATAACTTGCTCGCCCGGAGTCTGATGTAAAAGCCATTGAAATCGATGGGAGTCGTTCCATGGACTTCAGCGGGCTTTGGCTCAGGCCCTAAGACGCATCCTACCCCTGACAAATGAGATCCTGTCGCACGTGACGGACCCATCGGCATTCATCCCTAAATAGCTACTCACCGGCCGTTACACTTCAGCTCTGTCCAATACTACATAAGAGGAAGTAATTCTTAATTTAACTCCATAGCCCATGGCAGTCCGTTTTTGAGTAGTTCGAGAACATCTCACCTGGGGTTATAATGCACAAGATGAAAGGTTGACCCTCTTTAACTACGGAAGAGGTGCACTCCTCTTTTGGAACAGTGGGTTTTGGTGTCTTATTGCTACTCTAAAATGGCATTTACACATACACGTGGCCTAAGGAAAACCACTAGCCCCAGGTGTATACTGGACATGGCTAGGACCCTGCTGGTTGGTCAGGGATCACTAATTGTGTGTTCGTCTCCAAAGTTATTTCTTATCCATAGGAAATGATGCTTCTTTCCTTCCTTCTCTAACGTTGCAGCATTATGCAAGTCAAGTGACCTCGTTTTTCAGCTATGCAATATTAACGTCTGTAACACGTGACAAGCCACTTGTAAGATCCCCTAAAAATGCTTTTGAAGTTGTCTTACTGGATGTGTGGTCTAATGTTTGTATTAATTCTGAGCACCTGAGCCAGATCGTTTCAAATATTGCCTTTTTTTTAGGACTGAAAATGTAGCTTTAGAGCTAACAAATTTTAATGTAAATATTTTTATAAGATAATTTTTAAGAATTTTTGGATTACTTTTTATTGTCCTTGATGACGTTCTGTTCCATTCTGTATCGAATTCTTACACTCTAATGCAGTTCTCGCCAGCTGTGGTGTGGGTGTGAATTTGAACATTTTCTGCACAAGAAATTTCAGTGTTGTAACTAAGGTGGGATAAATTCTCTTTGCTCTCGTGTTAATTCTAACACATTAAATGGATACTGTTGGGTTCAACATTATGAATTTAAAATGATTTCATTACCTCAATTGCTACGAACAACATTAAAAAAAAAAATCTAAATCTACAAAGAATTTTAAATGTCTAATTCAACTTTCTCCTTTTCTGCTGTGGGTTTAATCTTTACTGTTCACTCAGCTCAGACAAGGAAACCAGGCTGCCTCTAGTCAGTTTCATTTTCAGTCTGTCCCCTATGAACAGAATGCTGCAGTTGGTTGGGTTGTAATGTAGGGAGATGTGTTGGAGCCCAAACCTAATTATGAAAGCAAATCTGATAACGGCAGGAGGTTTTGCAAGGCCCTTTTTATTTCTTTCCAAGCTGAGCGCTGATCCCTTTGCAGGGTCAGGGCCTTAGGCCTGTTCTACACCTAAAACTTAGGTCGACCTAGCTGTGTTGCTCAGGGGTGTGAAGAATTCATACCCCTGAGAAATGTAGTTAAGCCATCCTAACCCCTGATGTGGACACTGCTAGGTCAGTGGAAGAATTCTTCTGTCAACCTAGCTACTGCCTCTCAAGGGGGTGGATTTTCTACAGTGACAGAAAGTAGGGTTACCATATTTTGTGCCTCCAAATGGAGGACACTCCACGGCCCCGCCCCCAGCCCCGCCCACACCCCTGCCCAACCCCGCCCCCTCCCTAAAGTCTCCGCCCCCTCCCCTGCTTCCCGCGAATATTTGATTCGCGGGAAG